GAGGAGAGGAGAACAGAAGTCCATGTAGGAGATAGTTCTAAAAGTGATGATGTGGTCATGGAAGTTGACAGCCTATCAACTAGCAGGCAAGTAACTCAGATATTGCTTACACTCCAAGGAAAATACTCCTTTAGTAGCTTCACCAATATTGGATCAAAAAAATTAAATCAACTCAATATAGGAAAGGAAACAAGATGTCCAGTGTAATGATCTTTGCCTTCCTCTAGAGGGGATTGATACAAATTTAACTGCTCCTTAAATAAAGAATCATTCATTGTATAGACAACTACAAACCCAAACCCAAACCTTCAGATGAAATTATAAGAGGGCACATGCGCATACCCCAAATTAGAATGACTACTCACCTTAAACAGAACTCTTACCTGGGCATGGAGCCTCTGTTGCACAGTACGTTCGTGTGAGTGTTAGTGCAGTGGCTAATCTCCTGAAATCTCCTCAAATCTACTCCCACGTTGATGAAAGATTCCTGTGCAACTAACTCCATTTGTGCCAAATTTTGAAATATAAGCAACATTTGGAGTTAGAAATTAGATTAAAGGCTTCAAACCTCCCCAACAACTCAAGTTCTGTTTTCTTGCAAAAGCAGAAAAGATTAAGAGACACCTGCATCTAACTAAAGTGTCAACACTGTTCCTAGTCCTACTCAAAATGAACGTTAAAACATAGAGGTGGAAAGTTATATGCTGCTCCCTTCACAGCAAATTCTTTTCCCCTTGTATAAAATAACTAACTTTCCACCACAACCTTATTTAAAAAAATAAGGACAGTCACAATGACATAAGTCAGAAAACTGCAGACACCTCTACCCCTCTAATAACTCTACAAACTGTGTTTCTCACTTGTCAGTGAGTAGAGTTAAATCTGAAGCCAGCAGATTTTAGGCTTCTCACTAATATATCCTTGAGCTCTGTTCCTTCTCATTTTACCTTGGACATGGTATAGAGGACATGGATTTCCAGTGAAACACGTGCTGCCTCACACAAATCAGTGGAGGTATATCTGCCAAGGCTCCAATCAACACAGGAAGGGAAGATTAGTTCTATAAATAAACTAGGAGACATCCCACGATGCAGAGAGATATCTCCACTTACAAAGAACAGAAATTCTAATTAGCGTATCCAACTGCCTGCCCATCATTCATCTTTAAGAAATGGACTTCTTTAGCATTCTGAAGGTCTGACCCAATCTGACGATGGGAGCTGTGATGGCAATCCTTCTAATCCTGGCAAATCTCTTCTGAAAGAAGAGACTTGTTAGAATGCACACTGGAGCTAATAAAGTGGCAGCTAGCTCATTAAAGGGCTCAGGTTAGGGACTGACATATCTTACTTGGCTGGATAAGGGGAAAGGGAAGAAAAATGTTGTGAAGGGAAGAACAAATAGATTTGTTTAAGGAAGTTAACTGCGTTTTTCAGGAGAACAAACTAGAGGCAGGACAGCCTGTGATATCTGTTTATGCAGATGCCAGAAGTTTGTTGCCTTTCTTATGGCAAGAAATTATTATGATAGATTTGCTGTCAGTCTTTTTCCTGAAAATAAACCACCCCAAAGACAGAATTTATGACAGCTTCATTTCTCAGAAGTTTCCGCATTTGGTCAGATAAAGAAGTTCTGAGAATTCAAATGTCTTCGGTTTACTTTATCTACATGCCCATGGGGCATATTTAGGGATGACACATTTTTTTGTTTTTGCAGTTTTTGGCAGGGGCCAGGTTTGAGCCCACCACCTCCAGTATATGGGGCTGGCATCCTACTCCTTGAGTCACAGGTGCTGCCCAGGATGACACATTTTGATCCCCCTTTTGAAGATGATTTTTCTTATTTCAGTTATTTCTCTTCAGCTCTGGGTTCTGTTAATCTGGCCTGTTTGTTCATTCAGGCCCATTGCTTACATCGTATTTGATGTCTTTACTGCTGCTACAATTCTCCCAGACCACCAGCCCCAATTGCCAACTTGATACCACTTCAAGTTCTATAATTCTGTTACTACTGCTAGGTCACCATAAACATATCATTGTATCTTATTTTTCAAATTCTTAATCTACTACTTGACTCATATTTATTAGACATAAATAAAATACTTGGTTTATTGAAAATATGGTAAAGAATTTAAGAAAATTTCACTCCCTATCAGAATCTTGTGATCAATGTGCGAGATAATAAAGATAGAGGCCAATGCCTCTGCTGTTTAAACTGATAAGCCTGTTTTTCTGACAGGAAGCCAGAATTCTTTTTTTTTTTTTTTTTTTTTTTTTTTGCGGTTTTTGGCTGGGGCTTGGTTTAAACCCACCACCTCCGGCATATGGGGTCGTTGCCTTACTCCTTTGAGCCACAGGCAGCTGTCACTCTGGATAGAGTGCCTTGGCATAACAGCTCACAGCAACCTCCAACTCCTGGGCTTACGCAACTCTCTTGCTTCAGCCTCCCAAGTAGCTGAGACTATAGGTGCTCACAACACCCAGCTATTTTTGTTTTTTTTTTTTGGTTGCAGATCCAAACTGGGTTCGAACCTGCCACCCTAGGTGTATGTGGCCAGTCCCATTGCTGACTGAGCTACAGGCGCTGCTTAAGGTACTAGTAAAAGGAAAGGATGTGATAACCAGCTATTGTGGCGGGCACCTCTCCCAGCTACTGGAGAGGCTGAGGCAAGAGGATCGCTTGAGCCCAAGAGTCTGGGGTTGCTGGTAGCTATGACAACATAGTATTCTACCCAGGGCAACATAGCAAGACTCTGTCTCAAAAAATAAATAAATAGATAAATAAAGTGCATGCATGGCGGTACCCATAGCTCAGTTGACAGGGTGCCAGCCACATACACCTGGGGTAGCGGGTTCAAACTTGGAAGGCCTGCTAAGTAACAATGACAACTGCAACCAAAAAAAAAAACACCTGGGCATTGTGGTAGGTGCCTGTGGTCCCAGCTACTTGGGAGGCTGAGGCAAGAGAATCACTTAAGCCCAAGAGTTTGAGGTTGCTGTGGGCTGTGATGCCATGGCACTCAACTGAGGGTAACATAGTGAGACACTGCCTAAAAAAATAAAAAATAAAGTGCACACAGGGGTAGAGTGTGGGTTAAAGATGATATGATAATAGTTAACTAATGACCATAGGGTCATATTCCTAGAATATAAATTTTATTTGATGGAAAATAATGTAGACAATTTGTGTAAACTCACAAATATATTAAAGACTAGAATGTAATAATATTTAAGATGAAATCAAGCTATCAGGAATTTATGCCTAGGCCCTTAAGAACAAATTCATTCTTCTCTACTTTTGGAAGTGATCTGATGAAAAACCATGAGCTAAGCCCAGGAGTTTGAGGTTGCTGTGAGCTGTGATGCCACGGCACTCTACCCAGGAGGATAGCTTGAGGCTCTGTCTCAAAAAAGAAAAGAAAAACCATGAGCTACATTGGCCCAGAAAAGTGTTGATGATTGATGGTCTCTATTTTGCTACCCGAGGACATTAAATGCCAACTACCCTTACCTATTTTTGTTCAGATAGCTGTTAGTTCTATAATATGTGATTACTTTTTTTATAATTATTACCTGTTATTAATATGTAATTAGGGTGTTTAAGATTACTCTCTAAAAATGGTCAAATGAAAAGATTGAATTGTAAGGCATTTGGAAATCATTCTCGGGTTAGAAGAATGGGATAACTAATTACTAATTTACTAATGCTGTCCAGGTCTCCATTCATTCCCCACAGTGCAACCAGCATTCTTTCGAAAGTGCAAATCAGTGGCCCTGGTACTCCTGTGCTTAAAACTTTCTAACTTTCCATAGTCCATAGGATGAACTCTAAGCTCTTTAACGTGGTGTGTGAGGCCCTCTGAGTCTTGATTTCCTATAAGAGCAGCCTCCTTTCTCACAATTCTGTTCTTCCCGTTGGACTCCACCCATTAACCTCTGTGAACTAATAAAATGAGGTGTATGTTCATTCTGTAAAATGCAGACCTCCACATGTAATTCATATGTGAACATTCTCTGAACTAAAAGGCTGGATAAGATTAAATTAAGGTGTCCATCTGGAGTGAGGACTTTCTAGACTGAGGCCCCCTGACAAAGCATGGATACCATTGAGCAAATAGCGCTCCTCTGGGGAAGAGCTGCCTCTCTCAGTGTGTGTTCCCCTCTTTGCTCCAGTAAGAACAGGAACTTTCCAGAACTGCAGTAGCAGTTTCTGTCTTGCAGATAAGAAGTCAAACCAGAAGTTGTGTTTCTCAGTCTTGAGAACCGATGTTACCTCTCCTCACACAAATCCCATTCCACTCCCTTAACTTCCATCATAGAGTATCAACCCTATGGTTTGGTAAGAGAAAGGGCATTATTTTCATAGATCCTTAAGTCCCTTCTAATATATCTATTACTGAATAATTGGAAACTTGGATCAGTTTAAAAAGGATATTGTTGTATTTCTTGAATAAAACAGAAACTGGATATTCATCCAATATACACTGACTATAATGAATATGTCAATATAATTTGTAAAATTGGGGGAAGATTCTTCATCTTATTATACAGGGTGTCCCTAAAATTGTCATACATAGGGAAAATGAAAAAGTGTAGCTAAATGTACCTCTATGCACAAAATAGTCATTGCAACATTTCACAAAGAGTTAGCCAACATGTACAGAATATTTTGAAAGTATTTTGTAAAATGTTGTAATGAATATTTTCTAAATAAAGTCACATTTAGCCACAATTTCCCATTTTCTCTATGTCTGGAGACTTCTCTATGTATGGAGACTTCCTTCTTTACATAAAATTGAAACAAGGCTCTGTTTAGTAAGCTGTGTCCTGAGAACATTTTGTGTTCCAGAGAGAAAGTTTTTGAGACCACCATGGGCAGAGGGGAGGAGGAGGAGCCATGCTTGAGAGGGTAGACCTCACTATCCACCCCACTTAAAACACCTCTGCCTCTCATGTTTTCTGGCTGCTGGTATTTCACATAGGACTGTGTCTGGAAACAGGATTCAATTACTTAAAAATCTCAAATGCCCCTGAATTAAGGAGAAATTTGAGCAGTACCTCAGATGAGCAAAATTAATGAAGTAAAATGCTGTTGAATTAATTGCATGCTTATACTATGTATTATTTGGGGTTTTATGAGGACATTGAAACCACACAATAATTTAAACTGGAAAAAGTTTATATAAGAAAGTATTAACCAGCGTTAGAGCAATGGGAGATTGGTTAACAGGAGATTAAAAAAAAAAAAAAAAAACCACTGCAAGAAATATAGAAACGTCAGGTACAGTGAGTAGCCACTACCCCGGGGCTGAGAGAGATGAAGAGTTAGGTGACTGCCACGCCAGCAGAAATCTGCAACTGTGCCCTTGTCAGTCATGGGGAATCTGACCAGGTGTTACAGCTGGGAACTCATCTCTAAACCCCCCTAGCATATGTAGAGTGTGGCCTGCTGCTGGCATTATAACTGTTGGCACTGCTCCACTGTGGGGGCACCTAAGGTTGCCATTAGGAGTTGCCTAGAGAAAGACACTATGTGTACCCGTCCCCTGGGTACAAAAGTAAATAAAAATGTTTAACCAATGTCAATGTTTAGCCACGTTAAACATGGAATTTGAAACCAGAAACCAGATGGCCTGAGTTTAAGTTTCAGCTCTGCCATTTATAAAAATACTCCAAACAAAATTCTCCAAAACCTTCAGTTGGCCTATCTTTAGAAATGGAGAATTTCAGTATCTATATAGTCATTTTTTATGAGATTCAAACATATTTTTAAGCCCCAAGAACCATACTCAAGAAATATTAAGTTCTATTTAAGCAGTAGTTATTATTTGAGTTTGTGGCCCTATGTAGTGAGTTGTTTAAAGCAAATATTTAATGGCATTGCTCTGTTACTTTTTATTTATTTAATGTACATCTGTGATATTGTTCACTCTTCTAA